TTACTAATGTGTCACTGTGTTACTAATGTGTTACTAATGTGTCACTGTGTTACTAATGTGTTACTAATGTGTTAGTGATGTGTTCCTGACGTGTCACTGTGTTACTAATGTGTTACTAACGTGTCACTGTGTTACTGATGTGTTACTGATGTGTTCCTGACGTGTCACTGTGTTACTAATGTGTTACTAATGTGTTACTAACGTGTCACTGTGTTACTAATGTGTTATTGATGTGTTCCTGATGTGTCACTGTGTTACTAATGTGTTATTGATGTGTTCCTGACGTGTCACTGTGTTACTAATGTGTTATTGATGTGTTCCTGACGTGTCACTGTGTTCCTGGTGTGTTGCACAGAACCCAAGACTTTGGGCTACAGACGTCGCTGGAGGACCTCCCCCCCCAGGACACGACCCACCAATCACAGCAGACCTCGCCCTACACGCCCGAGCGGGACCTCTTCTCTCTCCTTGAGGAGGTCTGTGGCAAGTACACCGGCCAGCCGCCCACTACTGCTGATGCTGCTGCTGCTGCTGCTGCTGCTCCCCCTCTCAGCGATCAGCCACAGCGGTCGCCCCAGCACCCTGTGTCGGAGTTACTTGCTCCTGCCCCCGACGGCCGACCGTGTGAGAGGTGGGCGCGCATAGACCAGCGGTCCGACCCCGCGGGCGACCCCCCACGGGCGCGCATTGACCAGCGTGCCGACCCCCCTGGCGACTCCCCGCGCCACCACCCCCTCCCGCGGGCCGCCTCGGCCAGTGAGTGTGGCCAACTGGCACGTGTGCGCAGCGAGCACGTGCGTCGAGGCATGAGTCTGTCTCCCTCTCGCATGGGCCTCACCAGCTACTACACACACCGCTCTCTGCCAGACCTGGCCTTCCTCAAGCCAGACCGGCGCCACGCCCGCGGGGAGGGGGAGGACGGGGGGGCAGAGCCCGGGGGGTCCCTGTTCGATCCTGTCAAGATTCCCATCATCCTGAGCCCCGTGGTGGGGGTGGGACCGGCCGGGGGGTCATGGTGTCCCCATTGTTCCCAGCAGTCCCCACACTCCTCCCCACGATCCCACTCCTCCCCACGATCCCACTCCTCCCCACGATCACACTCCTCCCCACGATCCCACTCCTCCCCGCGCCTCCACCCCTCTCCCTGCCCCCACAGCTCCCCCCGCTCCCTGTCTTGTCCCCACTCTCTGTGCGGCCCGTGTTGCCAGCGAGGACACCCACCAACCACCCACAGCTCCCCGGCCAACAACAAGTCTTCCCCTGCCAAAACCTTCAGCAGGAAGTCCAAGTCATGCACGAGTGTGTCGCCCGCCGCCCGCCCGCCCGCCCCCGCACAGCCGCGCTCCGGCAGCCATGACACCTTCACTCACGGCAAGCGGGTCGCGGCGCCACGCCGGTACACCCACACACCTCCCAAAGACCAGCCGCAGCCCGCCCGCTCCCGCCCCGTCTCTCACTCCCCGGCGTGTTCTCGGCTGCGACGAGTCCCAGGGGCAGACAACTCCCCCTCGGAGCCCCCGAGCGGGCGGAGGACTGGCTCCCTACAGCGTGGGGTAGAGAAGTCCCCAGCCCCCCCTCGCTCCCACTCCCAGCCCTCACAGGTGTACCCCACCACCCCCACCACCCCCAGCGTCAATTCTTCCAGGTCCAGCCCTCACGTGGGTCGCCACACGGGCCGCTCCCCCCCACAGCCGGGGGTCGCCGCAAGTGTTGCCAGGCGGGACGGCCCAACGGGGACCAAAAAGCAGACGGCTCGCGACAGTGTGGCCCGTGGGGAGACAGAGGAAGTGTCCAAGCCACGTCCAGCCGCGCGGAGAGGTCGTATCCCCGTGCCTGTCGGTAAGACAGGTGGGTCAAGACCACCGGGGGCTGGTGCACGCTCCGAGAGGTCATCGGGGTCGTCAAACCCTAGCACGCCAGACACAGGCCAGCCCGCGCTCACCGACCTACGCTCACCCGACAGTGGCCAATCGTCGCCACGGCAACCGCGCAGCCAGCCACAAGGGTCACAGGATGTTGTCGCAGACACCAAGGCTCAGTCCCAGGGGAAGCGTGGGGCAGTGGGCGGGGCTTGTGAGGAAGGGGCGGAGTCAGCCCAGGTTTATGAGGGAGATAGTGGAGAGATGGTGGAGAGAGACCCTGGAGAGATAGCAGAGAGAGACAGAGAGACAGCAGAGAGAGACGCTAGAGAAACAGTGGAGAGAGACAGAGAGACCGCAGAGAGAGATGTTGGAGAGAGGGAGAGTGGAGAGACAGTGTCAGATTTGTCGGCTGTTGAAGTGTCCAGTCCGGCCGGTGAAGACGATGTTATGGCCCACCGGGGGGAGAGTGAGGAGGAGGAAGAGGATGAGGAGGAGGGTGTGGAGGGTGAGGAGTGTGACCCACACAGCGGGGCGTGCGGCGGCTGCCCCTGTGGCCACCAGACTGACCCTGGCCTGACCCACTGCTGTGACCTCTGCCCCACAGAGCAGCCGGACGCCCAAACCCCCGGCCTCATCGACGGCCGCCAGTGCTCACAGCTGTCCCCAGACTTAGAGAGAATCTTGTTCCAGCCTCCACATCTGGACACCGGGGCGGGGGAGGAAGAGCTGGGGTCGGAGGAAGTGAGCGGAGAGGGATGGGGTCGGATCCAGGTGGAGGTGGCGAGTCCCCCGTCTCTGGGCCAGGCCCTCTACTCCTCTCTCTGTGACATGCGCAGCTCGGCCAGCGGTAAGGCTTTGATGGACAGGAAGGGCAGCCACTGCCCGCCACCACCCTCCAGCCACCCACACAGCCCGTACGCAGACCTCGCGGACAGTCCCACACTGGCAGGGAAAGTGTCGGTGGGCTGTGCGGGGGTGGCGTGTGGCGTGTCAGAGGCGCATCGTCGCTGGAGCACGGGCTGTGCCCTGAGTAGCTTCCAGCTGGACGACCTGTACGCCGTGCCCGAGGAGAGCGGGGCTAGCGCCAGTCTGTCGCCGCAGTCGTCCTACGAGGACTTCCTGCCCGCACACAGCAGCAGCGCCTGTCTCGACCACAGGGGGCGCTTCGACTGGTCGCACACCGGTAGGTCACGGCGTCAGTCACATGTCGCACACTGGTAGGTCACTGTGTCAGTCACATGTCGCACACCGGTAGGTCACTGTGTCAGTCACATGTCGCACACCGGTAGGTCACTGTGTCAGTCACATGTCGCACACCGGTAGGTCACTGT